TGACGTCTGTGGAGAGGATTGAGTCACGAGCGCTGTAGTGAGTGTGCGGGGAACAGGAGACTGTTATACCATTTGCTGTTTTTATGCTGTTATACTGGTGTCGGTGAAGACACCCTTTTTGTGAGTGTAAATCTTTATTAAATTGTTGGATACTTTTATAAAAAAACTGGCTGCACCATGATTTTCTCTTCATTCATTCCCAAACATGACCTCGGTGGAGAGATATAAAAAGAGAGTGATATAATGCTCCTGGAACCATTATATTGAGTGGTGGATACCTACCTTATGGATGAATGTGTAGCTATTGATCATCACATCTGAGAAGTTGATTTATTGCATCTGCTCCCAGAGCAAAAAGCGTTTTTTGCTGATCTAGAGATTGATCAGCATGGAGCTCTGGTGAGTTACCCAACTTTACTTTGGTGGTGGATTTTGGCACAATTTCTTTGAGAGCACCTGAATTTGAAAAGGATTTGTTTGGACATTTGAAATTCAAAATTGGACAATTTTTATATTCACAAATTTAATTATTTAAATTATTTATGCACTAAAAAATAGTTTTGCACATAATTTTGATATTTTTTTATATTAATTGAGAATAGATATATCTTTTGCACTAATGTTTCTACACTAAATTAGGAATAGTTTGTGGTTTTAGCGCATTCCTTTATTTAAGTTATAGCACTAAGAAATTATTTGCTTTCTTTGAGGTGGAATTGCTGCTTTAAAGTATTAAGGGTGTGGCGCTTTTATTACACTTGTGATACTTCTAGTCTGCTGTCTCTAATGAAAACTACATGAATACAAGTAAACAACAGTTTGCCTAACTAGGCTTCAAATAGTCTCCATATTATTTCAAATTAAGTACAAAATATGTTAAAGGCTGGTCTATAAAGAATTATATAGTGAAATGAGATCACTGAGAAAAGTAGACAAAAATAACCCCAAGTATGTGAATGACACTACATTGATGTAATGTAAGTCTGTTGATTAAGGTAAAAGAAGAGTATAAAGAGCTCTGCTGCTTATCATCATTAAATATGTATTAAATCTTAGATGTGTTGGCTGCATTAGTTTTCTTTTTAGGCTTTTACCCCCCTGTTTTCACCTGGTGATCTGGCTAGTAACATACCTTCTGTATTATAGTACCTCCACTCTGGATAAAGGAGCAACAAAGACACCTTTGGATAGCAGCATTGTTAATCTGGTGGTACGGGAGTGTTACATGCACTATTAGATTTAAATACACTAACAAATGTAACCTGAATTCCAGTTAACATCTCCAGCTACAACTTTTTAAGTAGTTACAGCAAACAGTTTGTTTTCCTTTTGTGATAAAATTGCACTAAATATTGAGCGTAGCTTAAAGAGATGTGGCTATATAGAGTCTGAGTTGACTTATATAATATAGAATGAAACAGTGTTGAATAGGGAATGTACACTACAGTATCTATGGAAGTACATTGGAGGGGCCAGGCCCAACATCAGACATTGGGGCACCTTTTCAGGGGTTAGACATACTACTGACCTCTCTGTGACTACTAACCTCTGAACTTTGCATCACGTACTACTGAAGTCTGAACTCTGTATCACTTATCACTGACCTCTGCATCACTTACTACTGACCCCTGAACTCTGTGTCACTTACTACTGACCCCTGAACACTGCATCACTTGCCACTGATCTCTGAACTCTGTATCACTTACTCCTGACCCCTGAACTCTGTGTTACCTACTAATGACCCCGACTCTGCATCACTTAATACTCACCTATGTCACTTACTACTTCCCTCTGACCTCTGTATCACTTACTACTCACCCCAGACCTATGTGTCACTACTGACCCAGGAACTCTACATCATTTACCACTGTCTTCTGAGTCATTTACTGTGACGATCGCGGCGTCAGACCCCAGCCCTTCTCACCAAACTCGTGACCGAAGGACTAGTCAATCTAAAATCGCGCTGTCACGTGCGTAACAATGCCACGCCCAGCTGCACTCTGCACAAAGATTTTCCAGCTAATGGACCACAATCTTTGTATCTGCAGCCTGGGAGCGATTGTTACTGGGTCAGGTTAATTACGCAAGTAACCCTTCACACTGCCACCACCTCCTTTTTGTACAGAGAAAGAGAAAACTTGGCAATATCAGCAATAACACTATGATAGTTGGATAATCGTCTGTATACCACTGTCACCGCAGGCAGGTTATACAGAGGGTTAAACACACACACACAGTAACGCTCTTTAGAGGCAGGAATTCGTAGTTTGCATTACAGGCTTTAGAAACAGTTCAACACTTTCAGAAAGTAAGATTTATTACTAAAAGGGTGCAATAAAAATATTTACAGAAAAGATGTAGCCAATATATATATACATTTACAGAGAACAATAGCACAGCAAAGAGATAACAGAAAGAAGTTAGAGGGTTAAAGTACTTGCCAGTCAGCCTTGGTTTGAGCAGCTTCCAAGTTTCAGAGCCAAAAGGATGCTTTTATCTTCCACTGTCAGTTTCGATGTTAAAGCAGGGAGATCTTCGACTCAACTCAGCCTAGCTTAGCTTTTCTAGTAACTCCACAGGGTGTCTCCCTGGAGCAGTAAACCAATCGCCTCATTTGGGGAGGGAGGTGTAGGTGGAGACCGAAGTTATGCCCAAGAACTCTCATAGCTTCTATTATGATTCATAACTTATTCTCGGGGCATTTAGCAGCCTTGCCACTAGCAGATTAATACACAGAATGCGTATTATATATATATATATCTGCGGAATGGTTAGATATGAAATATGACATAATTACTTGAATGGTTCAGGAGATACAATTTTCTGCTCTCCGGTATGTGTCAGATAGGGGGTGTAATATATCAGGAAATTTGTAATAACATCAGCCATCCGAAGATGTGCTCCATGTTTGTGTAATTATGTCCTACGTGACGATATAAACTTATATGAAAAAAGGAGTTTTTAAATGTAAGTCTGTTTTTACAACTCTCTAGAATGTCTTTTGAACTCAGTGAAGGACTTGGGTTATGGTTTTACGATATCCCAGATTGCACAGCTAGCAGACAGCTAGGCACCAGTGAGGCTGGGGGTTTTATAGCTCCGGAGCTCTCCTGCTGTCCCTTGATTGCCTGTGGCCTCTGTCATCACCCAGATCACGTCACTCAACAGAGAGGGAGTGTCAGGGCTCCCAGGTATGACCAGAGGTGTGTGACTGATGCAGGGAAACGCAGACTTCAGATATGTGATAAACAATACAATTTATTAACACTAACCATACAAACATAAACGCAGTGCAATACTAAACATAATACAGTGCAAACAAACCCAACCAATCACCCACAGATAACAGTACATACAAGCAAGCGTCGTCAGGCAGGCCGGGTCAATATCAATTGGGCAGGTAGGTACAGGGGGAGCAAGCAGAGAATGGTCGGGGTCACAGGCCAGGTTCAGCAGGTAGCAAGCAGCGTAGTACAGAGGGTCAGGCAGAGGGATGGTCAGGGTCACAAGCCAGGGATCAAAACAGGTAACAAGCAGCGTAGTACAGAGGGTCAGGCAGAGGGACAGAAACAGGATGCAGGACAGATACAGGGCCCAGGACAAACACAACACCAAGGCAGAGTCTGTGGGTCTGGCCATCCCTTAAATACCCCAGCATCATCAGTTCCAGGTGTTAGCTGGCTGAAAGGTTGAGTCTCTGATTGCTGGGAGCACCCGCTGGCCAGCCCTGGTACTGCAGATCAAAAGGCAGGTGATCCCACCATTGCTGGCCAGTCCATTCCTGACAGTACCCCCCCCTCAAGGAGCGGCCTCAGGACGCTCCAAACAGTCCTAGCTGGGCAAAATGTTCCACCGCCCGGGTCTGGTAACTGGCGGAATATCAAAGACTGGCACACCGGGCAGGACTCCGGGCAGCGGCACACCGGACTCCTGGACTCCGGGCAGAGGCACACCGGGCTGGACTCCGGGCAGAGGCACACCGGGCTGGACTCCGGGCAGAGGCACACCGGGCTGGACTCCGGGCAGAGGCACACCGGGCAGAGGACTCCGGGCAGAGGCACATCGAGCAGAGGCACACCGGGCAGAGGCACACCGGGCAGAGGCACATCGGGCAGGACTCCGGGCAGAGGCACATCGGGCAGGACTCCGGGCAGAGGCACATCGGATTACCAGGCGAAGCAGCAGGCAGCGGGCCACCGGGCGGGCAGCAGGCACCGGGCGGAGAGCAGGCACCGGGCCCCCGGGCAGCAGCAGGCGACCGGGCCCCCGGGCGGGGCAGCAGGCACCGGGCCCCCGGGCGGAGCAGCAGGCACCGGGCCCCCGGGCGGGGGCGACAGGCATCGGGCCCCCGGGCGGGGCAGCAGGCACCGGGCCCCCGGGCGGGGCAGCAGGCACCGGGCCCCGGGGGGGGGCAGCAGGCACCGGGCCCCCGGGCGGGGCAGGCACCGGGCCCCCAGCAGCAGGCACCGGGCCCCCGGGCGGAGCAGCAGGCACCGGGCCCCCGGGCGGAGCAGCAGGCACCGGGCCCCCCGGGCGGAGCAGCAGGCACCGGGCCCCCGGGCGAAGCAGCAGGCACCGGGCCCCCGGGCGGGGCGACCGGCATCGGGCCCCCAGGCGGGGCGACAGGCATCGTGCCCCCAGGCGGGGCGACAGGCATCGTGCCCCCAGGCGGGGCGACAGGCATCGTGCCCCCAGGCGGGGCGACAGGCATCGTGCCCCCAGGCGGGGCGACAGGCATCGTGCCCCCAGGCGGAGCGACAGGTCTCGGGCCCTCAGGCGGAGCGGCGGGCGCCGGACCCCCAGGAGGAGCGACAGGTCTCGGGCCCTCAGGCGGAGCGGCGGGCGCCGGACCCCCAGATGGAGCGACAGGTCTCGGGCCCTCAGGCGGAGCGGGGGGCGCCGGACCCCCAGGCGGAGCGACAGGTCTCGGGCCCTCAGGCGGAGCGGCGGGCGCCGGACCCCCAGGAGGAGCGACAGGTCTCGGGCCCTCAGGCGGAGCGGCGGGCGCCGGACCCCCAGGCGGAGCGACAGGTCTCGGGCCCTTAGGCGGAACGACAGGTCTCAGGCCCCCAGGCGGGGCGGCGGGCACCGAGTCACCAGGCACAACCGTGGGCTCCGAGTCAACTGGGATGACCGCTGGCACTGGGTCAGACATTGGATCGTCTGGCTGGACAGCGGGCATCGGGTCACCAGGCATCAGGTCATTTGGCTCGACAGCGGGCACCGCGTCATCTGGCAAGGCAGTGGGCTCCGAGTCAACAGGCACGACAGTGAGCACCGGGTCATCAGGTACCGGATTGTCTGGCTCGACAGCGGGCATCGGGTCACCAGGTATGACAGCGGGCACTGGGTCACCAGGCATCAGGTCATTTGGCTCGACAGCGGGCACCGGATCAGGTACCGGATCATCTGGATCAACAGCGGGCATCGAGTCAACTGGCCTAATAGGATCGTCAGGCTGGATCAGTTCATCATGCTGAGTAGAGGCATCAGGCTGAGTAGAGGCTTCAGGCTGAGTAGAGGCTTCAGGCTGAACCACGGAAGGCAGGCTCACCGGTTTGGATACTGGCAGGATGGTATTGGTTGGAAAGAATTTTCGCTTTTTTCTGGTTTTAACTACTGGAGCACTGCAAGTAAACGCAGGTCTGCAAACGAATGGAGCAGCTGGAGACAGAGAAGAACTGGAGGATGGAACAGGAGAGGGAGCAGTTGCTACAGAGGGCTTTTTTACAGGGTTAAAGGCAGGATAGGTGCAGCGAGTGGGAACAGGGTACTGACATGCGGTAGATAGCAGGGCAGGAGGAGCTGTTGGGAATGCAGGAATAGAGTTTTGAGGAAATAGATTAGAAGCAGGACTGGGTCTTTGTAAGCTGACTGAGGCTGGGTGCAAACAAATCTGTCCATGTCTGCAGTAGGGGTTGAACAAAGCTGAGCTTACACAAAGCCTGTCTGGTCAATGACTGCACTGCGTTTATACAATCTCTTAGTGTCTGTGGTGAACATGTGGAATAACGCTCCAGAAAGTAACCCACATCATCCTCTAATAACCACACCAGGGACTCTACCTGGTCTGCACTAAATGGTGGCAAAAATTCATCCCTGCATTCGGGGGTACCAGATGAAACCAACTCAGCACAAACCTCAATCAATGGCTGCACCTCAGAGAACTCTGTGCCCTGATCTACTAGAACATGAGCGAGCCGTATACATTCTAGCAGTTCATCCCGGGTATACTCCTTCAGAGTTTGATAAGCATACTCCCTGTCATCAAACACTAGCAGATATAAATACGCAACCTCATCCAGATCCATCCTTCCCATCAACAAGCCAAGATGGCTTCCCTGTGCAGCCACTTCTGGTCAGGATGGGCCTTGGTGTAATGTCAGGGCTCCCAGGTATGACCAGAGGTGTGTGACTGATGCAGGGAAACGCAGACTTCAGATATGTGATAAACAATACAATTTATTAACACTAACCATACAAACATAAACGCAGTGCAATACTAAACATAATACAGTGCAAACAAACCCAACCAATCACCCACAGATAACAGTACATACAAGCAAGCGTCGTCAGGCAGGCCGGGTCAATATCAATTGGGCAGGTAGGTACAGGGGGAGCAAGCAGAGAATGGTCGGGGTCACAGGCCAGTTCAGCAGGTAGCAAGCAGCGTAGTACAGAGGGTCAGGCAGAGGGATGGTCAGGGTCACAAGCCAGGGATCAAAACAGGTAACAAGCAGCGTAGTACAGAGGGTCAGGCAGAGGGACAGAAACAGGATGCAGGACAGATACAGGGCCCAGGACAAACACAACACCAAGGCAGAGTCTGTGGGTCTGGCCATCCCTTAAATACCCCAGCATCATCAGTTCCAGGTGTTAGCTGGCTGAAAGGTTGAGTCTCTGATTGCTGGGAGCACCCACTGGCCAGCCCTGGTACTGCAGATCAAAAGGCAGGTGAGTCCCACCATTGCTGGCCAGTCCATTCCTGACAGGGAGGGGGGATGATTGGAGGAGCAAGCCTGCTTTGGGAGTGAGAGATGGTACAAAATGGAAGATTCTTAACAAAATGGAGGACCGCGTTCATCTCTGTGTGCACGATTGCTACATTTACCACTACCCTTCATATCACTACTGACCTCTGAACTCTGCATCACTTACTACTGACCTGTGTGTCACTTACTACTGACCTTTAATCTCAGTGTCACTTACTACTGACCCCTGCACTCTGCATCACTTACTACTGACCTTGGGTCTCAACTTACTACTGATCCCTGAACTCTGTGTCATTTATTATTGATACCTGAACTCCAAATCACTTAGTACTGACCTCTGAACTCTGAGTCACTACTGACAATGGAACTCAAATTACTACTAACCCCTGAACTCTGCGTCACTTACTACTGATCCTTGAACTCTGTGTCACTTACTACTAGCCCCTGCACTCTCTGCATCACTTATCACTGACCTCTGAATTCTGCATCATTTATTATAGAGCAGAGCAGTCAAAAATAAGTGATGCAGAGTACAGAAGTCAGTAGTAAGTGATCCTCTGTCTCACAATACAAACAACCCTACTCTGCCCTGCTTACCTCTGTTCTCCTTCTCCCTGGACTCTTCACAGTACTAAAAGTACTACCGCTCTGGCTCTTCTCACCTTTCTCATATTCCCTGGTCCATTACAGCTAATCATAGTCCTGCCAACTGGACCAGGGAATATTAGAAGGGGAGAAGAACCAGAGCTGCAGTACTCTGAGTACTGTGAAAAGTCCAAGAAAAAGGAGAACACAAGTAAGCCAACCCTCCTGTGTTTCAGCTGCATCTGCTCTTATCACAGGCAGCTACAGACTATTTATTTTTAATGCCAGGGATGGAGTGGATACTAAAGGCAGGTGCAGAGAGAAGTGGGAAGGGGCTATGACTCTCTGTTATTGGATTATAGCCACTCCCCACGCCAACCTTCAGTGCCTGTCCTCTTCCTGGCATAAACAGTGTTTCCTCTGTAGATACAAAAACACAAAAATGCAAATAGCAATATGCAGGTCAAGTGAGTCCAATTTGGTTGAAGTAATCAAATCTGTCAGTGTGTGCGTGAACATACAAACAGGTGCACTGGGCTCTAGGCTACTGCAGCTTCTGAATCCTCTTGGTAGAGGAACAAAACTGTGAAAAACGCACAAAGCACAAAACAAAAGTGTAATATCATAGTGCAGTTATAACCTTTTCATTAATTATGTTCTTTTAATAAAAATGATATAACTGCAGTATGGTATTGCACTTTTGTTTTGTGCTTGTTTCCCCTGTAGCTGCCGGTGTCAAGGGGAGAAGAAGAAGGGGGAATGGAACGCTGTTTTGCCCCTGCCAGGTTAATTAGTGGAGCAGAGTACTGGAACTTGTTCTTTCAGTGGACTCTGGGATTTTTAGACCAGATTTGCGGGATGCAGGGGTTTAGTTCAAATCTCAGGTCGATGATAAAGTTTTACTTAAATGAACAAAACCTTACCATTATAAGCACCCCCCATCAGTGTTGAATTGTTTGTTTCATCCTTCTAACTGCTACATCTGTAGAACAGTTTGTTCTGTGGAAAAACAATGAACTTATTGGCAGAATCACCAGGGGAAAACAAAAGAAAGAAAACCTAAAAAAGAAAAACTAATGGAGCCACCAGCCAATTAGTCATACGAACTCTCAACTGGCAGAGAGGGGAGTTATAGTAGCTCTGCTAACAGTGACAGTAGTCATGAAAATTGCTTGGTTCTTTGGAAGAAAGCTGTGGCAAGATTTGGAAGAGTGGAGATTGTAGAAAGGTTAATTTTTTAGATATCTGATCACCCTGGCACTACAGTAGTATATTGAGCACTAGATTATTAGAAATGCTGACTGACAGAAAATCAATGCTTTCAAATTTTGATGCTGGAGAAAATGACTGATAGCTTCTTGGATTGAAAAAAAATGTCAGTCAATAATGAAGAAAATAACCCAAATACTCACTGAAGGGTCTAATACTGAACCTGCAGGTTGTAATGCATTGGCCATATAATGGAAGAGTAGAAAAGGTTGCTGAAGCAGTAGGAGCCTTAACAAGTTTCAGGGAGTACCTAGTGACAGATTTGGGCTTCCAAAGTACATAAGGCCATGGAATGTCAGATGCAAATTAATTTACACATACAACTCAAGTGAATACACTGTAAAGGGAATCTGTGATCAGTCTATGGATAGTTAATTATTTATACATTGTTACCAATCAGTAAATTAACTTCAATACAAGACCTCACTGAGCAGGGTGAACTAAACTGCTAAGAGAATTGTCTCCAGTGCTTCTACTGTTATATTTGAGGATGAATAGCTCTAACAATGCTTGCAGTTACAGAGGTCAGGGTTGCCAACCATCAGTAAATTTACAAACAGTTTGTAAAAATCTGTCTGTAAATACCAGGGGATAATAATGTGTCATGCTGTGCTGACTTTTTAAGTGTAAACCAGGCAAATTACTTGTTATGGGTATTGTCAGTGTATCCATATTGTGTTTATACTGTTTAAATATCGGTTGTTTTAGTTTTTAATAGGAGTGCTGTCATTTTTAAGATTGTCAGTAAAAAAATTTGCTCCGTCAGTAAATTTACCATGTTTTGGCAATAAAAAATGCAGTGGAAGGTTGGCAACACTGGTGAGGGCTTGCTTGAAAACTCATTTGTTCCCTCCTAAAGTGTAAAGCCAAAAATGTTCCTGTTAGTTTGGATAGAGTATTGAAGGATCAGCACCTCTGTTAGATTTTTATGCTGTATTCTATGCTGTGGGATTAGACATTTTATGTTGCCCTTCCACACTCTATACTTACACACAACTTACTTCCTCACAGTGACAAATGATCCCTTGACTGAGGAGGAAATTGCTGATGCAATTCACTCTGTTTCTCCCAACAAAACTCCAGGCCTTGACGGTCTACCTGCTGAATGGTACAAGATTCATGTTGATGTACTATCCCCTAAATTACTTGCTCTATTTACGGAAGCCTTGGAGGCAGGTAGTTTCCCCAGACTCAACGACCAAGGCTATAATTACCCTGTTGCCTAAACCCAGCAAAGACAAATTATTGTGTGGTTCTTATCGACCCAATTAACTGCTGAATAGTAATGTTAAAGTATTAGCTAAAGTGCCCTCGGCTATTTTGAACAAGGTCATTCTCTTTCTTGTTAATCCACACCAATCTGGCTTCATGCCAGGCAAGAGTGAAAATATTAGATGTCTGTATCTGCATATCCGTAGTACCCCCAAGCACCAGCAGAATGGTATAGTGGTATCACTGGATGTAGAGAAAGCATTTAACATAGTTCGCTAGTCTTTTCTTAGGAAAATGTTGTCACGAATGGGATTTGGCCCTTAGTTTATTAAATGAGTCTGCCTTCTCTTTTCCAACCCCCTGGAAAGAGTTTGCATGAACAATCATGTATCTAAACTATTCTTCCTCCAACAGGGCACCTGGCAGGCCTGTCTGCTGTCCCCCCTTTTGCTAGCAATTTTTAGGGAATCACTGGCACTGTCAATTCAAC